GCTGTGCACAGATAAACTCTAGTATAGTTCTGCTGAACGATTTAGTTATCATGAACAAGTGCTTCTGTACAGCAAAAGTAAGAGGTTAATTACAAACATGTCGTCTGTAATTATACGACAAGCTTTAGATTGTGACACTGAACACATACACTCTAAAAAAAATGCTGGGTTGTGTATTAACCAAAGTGCCTTTTAAGAAAAATCTGTTCATTCGACATCCATATTTGCAATGCCTCCTCTTCCTGCAGTTCATCCAAGACCAAATCCTATCCAAATGATCGGGGGATTACTGAAATCTCAAATATGACTCGCTGAACTCAGAGTTAAATTACATATTTCTTAAATCAACAACAAAATCTGTTGATAAGGCACACACAAATGTCCTAACAAAGTTTGCAGTATAGACACATGTAATGTCAAGCCAGTTAGTCCAATGACGGTGTCTACTGGTGGATGAAGGTTCACTGCATGTTCGGTCTTTCCAGTGCACAATGTTGATTTACTTTAAATTTAACTCATATCTGACTCCAATTTTAGTATGAGGTGGTTTAAAATATTAATATATTTATCCTTGTTTTATCTGACTCCATTTATAAAAGATTGATAAGATTATTTTGTTTCCTTTAACATTAAATTATGATTGATTATTCTCTTTGATTTGTTATTATATATTATTCTCATTTATTTTGATTCCTATAGCATCCTGAGTCTTGTACTGGCCGAGTATACAATCTCTTAAACACAAGCTTATCAGTCTTGGTCAGTAAACAGATGCGATTAACCACTCTCCTATAAAGGCAAAACCCTACTCACTCAGTTAAGGATTTTTTGGTGGCCCCTACAGATCTGGTATCTACTAAATCAAGACAAACTATTTTAGTCATACCATAATCATTAGTATAGAATTGAGCAAACAAATAATAATCACCATATGATTTATACAGTATTATAAGTTTATAGATGAAGGCTTAACTTACCCACATTTAAACTGGTCTCAACAATATTTTGTTCTAAAGCAGTGGTCACCAAACTTGTTCCTGGAGGGCCGGTGTCTTGCAGATTTTATCTCCAACCCTAATCAAACACACCTGAACAAGCTAATCAAGGTCTTACTAGGTATACTTGAAACATCCAGGCAGGTGTGTTGAGGCAAGTTGGAGCTAAACCCTGCAGGGACACCGGCCCTCCAGGACTGAGATTGGTGACCCCTGTTCTAAATAGAGAACCCATTATTGGCCTTTTACAGTCTAAGTATACTTGAATTAATGCCAATGTGTTAGTCGGAGCTCTAAGAACATCGTATAGCATGCCATGCTGCTCCGTCTAACGCGTTTTAGTCTGTTACTACCCTGTACAGAGGCTTGTGGTGCTATGGACTTAACGTAATCTACCAGGGATAATAACACAAACTCAATTTAACAATTTAATAGTCAGGTAAATGTGTATTATGCCAATTCATTTAATCAATTCATAAACAATCAATACAAGACATCAAATTCACAAAAATACATCCAAGATTAAAAGATGCATACCTATCTTCAAAATATACATAGCCATGGGCTGATCTGGATAACAGAATCGCCCCGAACATTTAGAAACTAGTAAATCCAAGAATCCCCTCAAGGAAAGGAGTGTGTGAATAACACAAGGTATTTGCATATAGAGGAAGAGTTTCTGCCTATAGGCAAGGCACACCCTTGGCAGTAGTTCAAAAGATACCTGAAGTTCTATATTTATTGTTTTGATTCTGTCTATTTCTGAGGGAATGAGACATTTCAAATGATGTCAAACATGATAGATAAAGTCACTTGGGTTGATTTAGAACATTCAGACTTTGAAATGACTATTCTGTGTGAGTTGAGTGAAAAGGGGCTGAGTAGCCAAGGTGGGTTTCGAGAAATGTTTCAAATGTAAATGGAGGAATGGAGGGGAGCTGTTTTTTCTTGCATTCTCACCTGCTGGGTTGTGGAGCCGATTGTCTCTGTTTTCGGCTCATGTTTGAAATGTCAAAGACATTAAAATATTTGTGATATCTCAAGTCTTACACACACGTTAAACTGTTTTTGTACGGTAAATTTAACGAGTACAATTTAATAATCACTCTGTTCCATTACTTTGGTTGCCTAAAGTTTGTGTAATATTAAAATGTACTTTTATTTTGCAAGCACACATTGTTATTTACTGAAAAAAAATAGTTTTGGTAAATTTCAATCAAAATCTGACCATTTGCTTCTGTGTTTGGAGAGGTGGTGCTTCTCTGATGATGTCAGTTTGATGCTTTATTCCTAACCACGCCCCTCTTACCACTAGTTTGCTGTGAGGGAATGTTACACAAAATGAAATGCCCGCCTCCTACTCAATATTCCATGTCAGTTGGAAGTACATCAACATACTTGAAAGTCTCAGCAACTTCCAGTTCACTTGGACTTTAAATGAAAGGGATTACACTTTACTATACTCTTACTTTACACTGCATTGTACTCTATAGTAATGCAAGTGAACAGTCTTTGTACATCTATAGTCACTCAATGTTGGGTCAAATATAGACAAACCCAACAGTTGGGTTAAAATGTGTATTTAAATTTAATTGGAAAAAGCGTTTGGGTTTATTGGGTTGACTGAAAAGTTGCTTTATGCCAAGCTGCTGACCATCTCTTTATGAGCACAGTGATGAACATATCTTGTAAAGCTCTATTTCAGAAGGATAAAGCACCATGTCACTCTATATACATGACAGTGAATTCACTAAACTCATATATCCTCAATAGTCACCAATCAAATGTATAATCTATGTGATGAGCTGGACATACATCATGAAATGTGCAGCCAACAAATCTGAGCAGCTTTCATCAGACAAACATTGCCCAAAAGCTAACACGTAAAGCAACCAATCACAGTTTGTTTAGTATAGTGTCATGTTTAAGGCTATGAAAATGTAATGCAGATGCAATAATAGCAGACTAGAGCGTAAAACTCTCAACTTTGCCCATAGAAATTGATGATAAATAAAACAGCTATTGACCAATCAACATCAAGGATTGGACCTATCCTTTTGGCAACAAGTTTTTGGTGCCATCTAGTGATCCATTTACGTAAAATCAACCTGTGGTTCATAGCCTATGCTAAATATTCATCTATTTTCTTGTCGGCTTAGTCCCTTTATTAACACAGCGGAATGAACCGCCAGCTTATCCAGCAAGTTTTTAAGCAGCGAATGCCCTTCCAGCCGCAACCCATCTCTGGGAAATACGCTAAATATATTTCACCAAAAAATGTAACTGCTAATTTGGCAACCAAGATGAAGTTGATTTGGTTTTTCCACAGTAAAACATTGAATTTTTAGCTGAACCTGAATGTTTAACAGTCATTGGCACTGCATAAAACTAAATAAATACACGTGGCTCCTGATAATACATTGAGATCTTTTAAAGCAAAACATTTAGTCTGTGCAAGAAACTAAAGAGACTGTTGATTAATGGTATAATGTTGTAAATAATCTTCAAAATACATCTTGAATGCCCTTACAATAATTCGTTTTTTCAAAAGGATATTAATAATTGCAGTTAAATTATGGTAACCACAAACTAACTATGGTTTTACTGCTGTAAACATAGTTTGACCATGATATTCATAGTAGAAATGTTATGCAAATGATAATTAATAAGCCAAAAACATTATCGTTACAAATGCAGGCTAATAAAGCCCTATAAAGTGATTCTTTTAATTAATCGTAAACTAGTAAGTACTTTTATTGTTGTTTATGAATGTGAAATATAAAAATAGGTTTAATATATTCAATATATTTTTCTTTTTTGTTTTTATCAATTATAATAATCCACATCAAAATTACGAACGAAACCGTGTACTAAACCGCAAATATAATGAATGTCTGACCAATTAGTAGCCAAGACACTTAAATAAATAAATAAATAAATAAATAAATAAATAAATAAATAAATAAATAAATGTAACCCTATTTACCTCGTGCTAAACATAGTATCTGGGCGCAGTTGTACAGCTTGCTCTGCGTGGGAAATTACAAAATTTAAAATAATAAAAATTATGAATTTTAGGATCTAAACCTGAGTAGCGTAAAGTGACGTCACACCTATTGAATATTCATGAACAAAAAAAAACTGACCAAAAAAAAAAGAATTACTCCGAGGGGAAAATTTCTTTGGAATTCTTTAATAGATAAAATTAATTGGAAAAAAGCTTGGCTCTTACCTTACAAATTGTGTGTTCCCAACAAAGTTAAAGAACTACATTTAAAAGTTTTACACAATATTTACCCCACAAATGAGATTGTTTCTAAATTTGGTAATTCTAATTCAAATTGTGTCTTTTGTAAATCAAGCATCGAATCAATTGATCATCTTTTTGCCAAATGCCCACATGTTAATATGTTTTGGTCTGATTTATCTGTTTATTTTTCATCAAAATGTAAGTTTAACATTAATTTTTCCATGTGTGATATAATTTGTTACTTTTATCATGAAAAACATGACATAGAATTTATAGGTAATTTATTTATTTTATTGGGTAAATATTATATTCATAAATGTAAATTTTCTTTATCAGTACCTAAGATGCAGAATTTTCTCTGTGACTTAAACTGTTTAATAACTACTCTACAAAATGTTTACAGCAAAAAAAAGTGTTAAAACTGTGAAATTTTATATAGACTTTATGAATATCGTTTAATTTGATAATCTGCCTCTGTACTCGGTAGTTTTTTCTTTTTTCTTTTTTTATTTACCTTTGTACTTGTTGTCATCCATTGTTATGATTAATATGTTTGTATTGTTAAAATACAAAAAAAAAAAAAACTGACCAGCACTCACAACGTCTGCCAGGTAGGCGTTACTTGGTTGAACGTCATGAAACTTAACAAATATTCATAAGCAAAGCCTTCGCAATAGTATGTTTCAGGGTTCATTTTCTTTCTCCGCTTTTCTAGTTAGGAAGTTCGATTAGTCAGGTCTGACCAGGTGTTTCCCAGCTCTACGGTTTGTGTGTGTGTGTTGTGAAGTTGAACAGCCGTTTCATTTCCTGGACCACAGAAAATGGCGTTTTGCCCAAACCATGAACGTCTTCAGGTGCTGTCTGGAAATTAATAAAAGTTTATAAACTCTGCACATATAAGTTACTATTGAAAGGTAAGTCCTATGCGTCTAATTCTGTCGATTTTAACCACGAAGGCTGATAAATCAAGTTGCTTTTCTGAATCGAAAACGAGCACAACCGAAACTAAAGCAGTCGTGGCTACGTTATTAGTTTGATATTAGTGTCTTTCTTCTGAATTGCTTCTATTCAGGTTCCCACATAACACAATATGGGTGTGTGTGGAATCCAGACGTCGTTAAACATCCAGAATTTTGTGTTTTTCTCTTACAGTTGACTAGAAATGCTTATATTTGTCCTCCTGCTGCTGTGTCATTTCACGTTATGTGGACACTGTGCGTGTACGAGGAAAACCCTTCAGATAGGAGCAGAACAAGAGAGTGAAGGTAAACAGTGTTTTAAAACAACCTTTAAACACTTCAATGTTTTTTTAAACCCAATGATGAAACTACTATTTACTGTTAACATACTGTTATTGAAATGCCATTTGAAATCCTGTTGTTCAGGTTTTATAAATTACGATTTGTCGTGTGTTTATATATATATATATATATATGTATGTATGTATATGTATATATATGTGTATGTATATGTATGCCTGTTTATAACACACACGATAAATCATAATTAGGAAAACCTAGAAACATTGTGATCTGAACATAAACAACAGAAATGCCTTTGTGTGTGTGTTTGCGTGTGTGTATGCGTGTGTGCGTGCGTGTGTATGTGAGCACATGCAGCTATGGGAAAGTTATGTAATAATGAAAATAAATGACAATTGTTCATTAGTCATTAGTCTTTTTTTGTCAGGATTATTTAAGTTCATTTCACCAAAATATTGCTTTTTTAACTCTGAAGTTACAACCTTGTTATTTTGTTGTCTAAAAATAAAAATAAATGTAAACATATATTTCACTTTTTAACGTAATCTTCCTGCAACGGATGGAGATGCAACTTTTTTTGTATATAAAAAAAACTTTGTTTTTAATTTAGAAATATAGTTAGGAGTTTATATATATATATATATATATATATATATATATATATATATATATATATATATATATTTACATATTCACACATGCACATTAGGGCTGCACAATATTACAGTCGACCAGGAGGTACGGAATTGTATTTAATCAAAATCGTTATATGGTGGCTATATGGAATTTACATGATTCATGCAAAAAAAAAAATTTCTTTCTTTCTTAATTTTTGTCTTGTTTCTAATCCAAATATCTACATTTAAAAGCGAAAACAAGATTATTTTACTTACCAGATAATTTCCTTAAAACAAGCACAAAAAAACTCGTAATTTTAACTTATTTCTTCTGATGGTGAAAACTAAACAGTATTTTTACTTGACCTAAAATAATTTTTTCGATATTTGATCAAGAAACAGGACGAAACAAAGTAAGAAAAGCATTTTTTTGCATTGTGATTATTCAACTTCTGTCCCTGAATACTGTTAGGCTCCCCAGAGAATCTTTCGAAACTGTATTCATACCACAATATTATTGCAGAAAAATAAAACATTCAAATATCAGATTTTCCAATACCGTGCAGCCCTAATATATACAGTTGAAGTCAGAATTATTAGCCCCTCTGAATTATTAGCCACTCTGTTTATCGTTTCCCTAATTTCTGTTTAACAAAGAGAAAATATTTTTTGAACACATTTCTAAACATAATAGTTTTAATAACTCGTTTCTAATAACTGATTGATTTTATCTTTGCCGTGATGACAGTAAATAATATTTGACTAGATATTTTTCAAGACACTTCTATACAGCTTAAAGTGACTCTTAAAGGCTGAACTATTTTAACTAGGCAGGTTAGGGTTATTAGGCAAGTTATTGTATAATGATGGTTTGTTCCGTAGACCAGTGTTTCTTAACTGGGAACATTTTTAGTGGGTCGCGGAGTGTGAAGCAAAAAAAACAAGAAATGTTTAATGTTTAACTTATTTTGACTTTTATTTTGAAATGCGTGTACAACAACCCTACCGTTTGACATGTGAAATTTCATTTAATTATAGCAACAAATATGCCGAAGCGCAGGTACGACCCTGAATTTGTAAAGTATGGATTTACATATATTGACGACAAAAAAGACTTAAAGCCTCAGTGTGTCATATGTAGTGAGTTGCTCTCACAATAGAGCACAAAACCTTCTAAATTAAAATGACATTCAGAAACCAGACAACATGTTTTATTAATAGTTCAGTTTAGTTCATGGTAACTGAACCTTTCCTTACCCTAACCACCGTTAACAGTATTTGACGTTTTTGTATTATTTTTATAATTTGATACATTTTGTTAAATGACAGCAATAAAGTATTGTTTATTTGTAAGTCTTGGTGTTTTTCTTATAATTTATTTGTCACTACTTGTGTATGTTAACAAATAAATACAAATTAATTATAATTCCTATAACTGCATTATAGTTACTAAAAATTTGGGTCGCAGCTTGATGACCATGTAGAAATGTGGGTCCCATGACCAAACCAGTTGAGAACCCCTGCCGTAGACTATCAAAAAAAATACAGCTTCAAGGGGCTAATAATTATTTCCTTAAAATGACTTTTAAAAATTAATAACTGCTTTTATTCTAGCCGAAATAAAACGGATAAGACTTTCTCTAGAATAAAAAATATTATCAGATATACTGTAAAAATGTTCTTGTTCGGTTAAATATCATTTGGGAAATATAATAAAAATATATAAATACATTTAAAGGGGGGATAATAGTTCTTACTACAACTGTATGTGTGTATATATTGTGAAAGGGTACAACATTTTTTACATGTTTCATAAACATTTTGCCCTAATATATTTTTTTATTTTACTATACATTATTATAAGTTTTGATTATTGTTATTTTGAGACTTTTCATATATTGGCAACGTTTAATCACATTTAATGTGTTTATTGGTGTTTAGTGTTTGTTGTGGACCAGGAGGCCAACACATTTTTAGGACGCCACCTGTTGTTCAACCGCTTTGACTTTGAGATCTTTACCCCGGGTAATCTCGAACGGGAGTGTATCGAGGAGATATGCAATTACGAGGAGGCTCGGGAAGTCTTCGAGGATATCCCCAAAACAGTTGAGTAATCCCATCATTACTAATGAATCAGCATTTTATTCATTACACAGCCTGCCACTTACCACTCCTACACTGTCATGTGTACTTGCCCATGGGTTGGATTTGGGCAGATAAGTCTTGTTTTTGCGCACTACAAATGGCAAATGATTACTGTGAATGTAATATGAAAGTGTGTTTGGAGCAACACACTCCCTGCACTCCCAGATTATGTGTTTTTAATACAGCCGCATTAGCAAACACCCATTTGTTGATTCCATCTTGGACTTTCATTTAATTCTCTCTTTATTTGGTTTGACAGAATGACTTTTGGAGGACATATACAGAGGGTGAGTACCGTCACACATACAGATGAAAAAACCACACTTGACAGAAACTGTATGAAATGTTGTCAGTTAAATATTTATCTACAAAAAAAACCTGTTCATCTACATGTCTTTGCATTTTGTCTATTATATACACTTTGCTTTCATTTAGTGATGATTACCATCTTATGCTTCTCAAGGGCGCTTTGTTTTAAAAAATAATTTAATGATTAAATATAATTTAATTTAAAGTTATATTTTGTTTTTGTAAAAATATTTTAAAATTATAGTCTCTTTCTGTGACCGTAATGCTGATGTCTTCAGCATCAGCATGATTTTTCTGCTCAATAAATTATTATTATCACTATTAAAACCAAATTTAGCTGTTTTGTTTAAGGAATAATTTAAAAATATATACATTTATTAAGCATGTAAACATTAATTTGATAAAAAGAGCTAGTAAAATTGTAATACTTGTGCTTGTAATATTACAAACTTATAACAGTTTCAAATAAGATATTATTTGAACTTTGTTTCATTAAATAATAATGTTTTCTGCATGAACGATTAAATAAAAATTAATCTTCGCAATCACATGAATTAATTAAATTTTTAAATATTTCAAAATTGAAACTATTTAAACTTGTTTGGGGTAATTTATGCACAAAGCATCAGGATCATCATCAATATATTCAGTTTCAAAGAATGCATGTGCAAAGTACTTTTAATAATCATCCTCATATCATAATAGTAGTTATTTTATATATGTGTTATTGTATTATTAGATACTTAATAACTTGTTTCCGTATGATATATCTTTTCATAGCTAAGGGTGAGTCCCAGTCAAAAGTTGACGTAATAGTTTTGCTGGTGGGCATCATCTCCGCTGGAGTCTTTATCATTATTATTGGCCTCCTCATCTGGTATTTCTGCCAGGGCAGGAATAAAAACGATGGTTTCCGGGGGTAAGTCTTAAATCTAACATATAAAATAATGTAAAGAAGTTAGAACACCCCATTGAATTCCATTGTTTTCTTTATCTGGACATCATTCAGTTTGGACAGTAAAGCCAGAAAAAGTGGAAAAGTTGTGGGTTACAAACTTGGGACCCCCTTACTGCCAACATAAGGATTAAGAGAGGAAGTAGTAGTCAGACACTGCTAATCAATCAGTCATGTGCAAGCAAGTGTGTGCACCCTTATAAAAGTAGAGGTTTAGGCAGTTTGTTGGTCTAGAGCTTTCAAGTGTGTTTAAGGTTTAGTTCACCCCTAAAATGTAATTATGTGCCAAACCCCTGAGACTTTCAGTTTGTCTTCGAAACACAAATTAGGAGATTTTACATGAAACGAGAGAGCTCCCTTATCTTCCATATACAGCAAAGTTCCTGACTTATTCAAAAATACCAAAAAATGATCCTCAAAACAGAACATATACTTTCAGTGCTTCTATCAGCATATTATCAAGATACAAGAATACGTTTGTACAACAGTTACCACCTGTACAATGTGCTTTTGCTTGGCATTAATGTTGTTTTTTTCATGGTGCTGCTCCATATGCCTTGAATTGCCCCAAGGTGACAAAAGAACATTTTGGATAGGTGGAGCAAAGACACAACACATCCAGCAACTTGATCTTCCATAGTTAAATGAATTTCAGAAACGTTGCACGTTTTCCTGCTATAAAGCATGTATTTATGTGGAAATGTAAATGATTGGACCCCCCCCTTCAGAACTGCCTTAATCCTTTGTAACAAAGATTCAACAAGATACTGGAAATATTCCTCAGAGGTTCAGTTGCTGCAGATTTGTTGGCTGCACATCCATGATGCGAATCTTCCATTCCACCACATCCCAAAGGTGCTCTATTGGATTGAGATCTGGTGACTGTGGTGGCCATTTGAGTACAGTGAACTTGTCATGTTCAAGAAACCAGTCTGAAATGATTCACGCTTTATGACATGGTGCGTTATCCTGCCGGAAGTAGCCATCAGAGGATGGGTATACTGTGGTCATAAAAAGATGGACATGGATGGATGCGGCGTTGACATGATGCTCAGTTGATATTGATGGACTACACCATTATACCACCAGTATGAATCGTTGATATAAGGCAGGATGGATCCATGCTTTTCTGTTGTTGATGCCAAATTTGGCCAAACCTACCGTCTGAATGTTGCTGCAGAAATCGAGCAGAATTAGACCAGGCAACGTTTTTCCAATCTTCTATTGTCCAGTTTTGTTGAGTCTGTGTGAATTGCAGCCTCAGTTTCCTGTTCTTAGCTGACAGGAGTGGCACCCGGTGTGGTCTTCTGCTGCTGTAGCCCATCCGCCTTGGACGTGTTGTGCGTTCAGAGATGCTCTTCTGCAGACCTCGGTTGTAACGAGTGGTTATTTGAGTTACTGTTGCCTTTCAGTCAGCTAAAACCAGTCCGTCCATTCTCATCTGACCTCTGGCATCAACAAGGCATTTGTGCGCACAGAACTGCCGCTCACTGGATATTTTTACTTTTTCAGACCATTCTCCGTAAACCCTAGAGATGGTTGTGCGTGAAAATCCCTGTAAATTAGCAGTTTCTGAAATGCTCAAACCAGCCTGTCTGGGACCAACAACCATGCCACATTCAAAGTCACTTAAATCCCCTTTCTTCCCCATTCTGATGCTCAGATTTACATGCATGCAGATCGTCTTGACCATGTCTACATGCCTAAATGCATTGAATTGCTGCCATGTGATTGGCTGAAAAGAAATTTGCGTTAACGAGCAGTTGGACAGGTGTACCTAATAAGGCAGCCTGTGAGTGTATAATACAGAATAACAAAATATGGCAATGTTAGATTTTTCCAATATCGCGCAGCCCTAGTTTAAATACAAGATCAATGTAGCTAATTCTGATGCTCTCACCGATGTGAATGTGCAATTAACAATTTTCAACTGAACCAACCATTAAAACATTACAAATCAAGATGCTATAATAGTGCAGTCAAAGTCCAGACCTCATCCTGAAAACCTGGCAATGCAATAGGGTGTCCAAACTTTTTCACAAAACTGCAGGTTTGAGAGATTCATGCTTAAAGAGTTTGTCTGATTGTGATGTTTAATGTCTTTGAAATGAAGCTCCTTCAGACGTCGATCCACCCGAAGCAATGCCTCGGTAATCATCCGCAGACTGGAAGAGGTTTCTCTGCATCCTATTCCTCCCGCAGAGGCCAGTGCAGGTTTACCTTCATACGAACAGGCTATTGCCATCACTGGACCACATGATGCTCCGCCACCACCATATCCTGGGTACAAATACACTTCTACCCTTACATAACCTCTCTGTCATGTTTATTATGTCATACAGTCTCTAATTACCATCTATTTGTCATATCTTAGCATTTAAAAAAGCTATTTTAGTACACTTAATTGCCAGAACAGGCACGGCTCATGCATGCAATTACATTAATTGTAGTCATTGTTTGTTTCTAAATGCTTAATGTCTCAAAAACGCCAATGTAGTTTAATTGTTTATAGTGTATTAAAATGGTCACACATCTAATTCTGCATATCTAACGTCTATCTACAGTTCCAGGCCAGGAAGTATGAGACGATAACCAATCACCGCGATGAATGGATGGACTAAACGCCTATTTTCTTGATTATGAACTGAACAATTTTCAACCAAAGGCTTTTGGATTTAATTCCCTAGGATAAGCTACTAATATACATATTGTCCTGCAGAACTACACTACAGCTTTTAGCTTATCATGAATTAAAAAGCAATGGAAATGAAATCACCGGATAGTTCTGAAGAGTATAGATCAGGGGTGCTCAATCCTGTTCCTGGAGATCTACCTTCCTACAGATTTCAGTTGCTACCCATATCAAACACACCTGCCTGTAATTATCAAGTGGTGTTCAGGTCCTAATTAATTGGTTCAGGTGTGTTTGATATGGGTAGCAACTGAAATCTGCAGGAAGGTAGATCTCCAGGAACAGGATTGAGCATCCCTGGTATAGATCATAGGACTCAAACTCGGTCCTGGAGGGCTGCATCTCTGCACAGTTTTGCTCCAATCCTAATCAAACAAAGCTGATGCAAATAATCAAGGTGTTCAAGACTACTAGAGACTATCAAGCAGGCGTGAGTTGGAAGTTTTTGGAGCTAAACTATGCGGAGCTGCGGCCCTCCAGGAATTGAGTTTGAGACCATTGGTATAGATAGTCATAACTTTTAAATATAAAAAGTATTATAATTGTGTTTACTTTAAAAACATAATTAATTAACAGTTTTGATATTAATTATTGTATCAATAAAAAGCCAGATCGTATAGTTTAACTTATTTTTTCTTCTAGGGATTTAATGAAGGACACAGCATCGTTTTATCTTTTTTAATCCTCTGTTACAGAGATATAGTGAAATGTGACTTGCTATTTAGTATTTACTGGATCAATATTTGTAATAATTCAGTAATCAGAGCAAGATTACCTCCTCTAACCTCAAGACACTACTCAGGCTGTGTTTTTGGTGCAAAACCGTGTACATATAGATGAATGAATTCTGCTGCTTTGATCTTATTTTGATTTAATTTAATTCTACTGGCAGATGAAACTGTTTTGCGGAGTTATGAAACTGCACAGTTGCATTAGTGGTTTCTGGAGGCTGAAGCGTGTCTTTTACTTGACAGCACGTCAGCTCTGATGTTATCGTCATATATTACTAGCCTTCATAATAAACTTCTTCCTTTGTTGACAAATTTTGCATGTTAATGTTGTCTTGCTACATCCTGGAGCATAATGAAAGTGTGGAAGATGCATATCGACAACAAAGAAGCCTTTTCGATGCAAATGATTAGTACAAATATAATGACACTGTGGTTGTGGTCAGGACAAGTGTTGGGGAAGGTTACTTTTGAAAGTACTGCATTACAATATTGAGTTACTCCCCAAAAATGTATCTAGCTGCATTACTTGGTTATGTTTTATGGTGAGTTATGTTACGTTACTTTATCTGACCTGGCTGATGCTTGATCTCTTTCAGGACAGGCAGGTTTTTTTTTGTTTGTTTTTTTTCTTGTTATATTTTTTTATTTGAGGAGTTGTGCATTTAAAAAAACACAGTGTAGCCTTCATTTATTAAAACAAGACATTAAAAATGTAGGATAATGTTGTCTACTAAGAACGTCCTGACCCAAGAGCTATATAAATAAATTAATTAAAGTTTAAAGCAATGTGTTTGCTACCTCTACCATTTTTTTTCTTGTGAAAAAGTAACATCAATGTCTTTTCAGATAATCCTCTTTACCTTTTATACCATGTGTATAAATAATAAGAATATTTCCATCACAGTCAGCAATTTAATCCGGAGCCATGTTAATTTCTGTCTGTTCCTGCATTCTCTCATTGGGTGTTGGATTAAACATGAATATGTTAATTTTAACTCAGCAATTTATTTTTTAAAAGCGAATTAACTAAACTAAAAAGTAACTCTCATTACTATTTTCAAATTATTTCTTGTGTGCATAATTTTTATGGATAGAATTTCAAAGTGCAGCCTTGGGCTGCAGGGGGTCCGGTTCGGGGACCACAGGATTTCATCTGTTATTTGCAGACGATGTTGTTCTGTTGGCTTTATCGAACATGGACCTTCAGCATGCACTGGGGGGGTTTGTTGCCGGGTGTGATGCTGCTGGGATGAGAATCAGCTCCTCCGAGGCCATGATGCTCCACTGGAAAAGGGTGGTTTCCATCTCCGGGTTGGAGGAAAGTCTTTACCCTAGGTGGAGGAGTTCAAGTATCTTGGGGTTTTGTTCACAAGTGAGGGAAGGATGGAGCGTGAGATTGACAGGCGGATCGGTGCAGCAGCAGCAGTAATGCGATCGATGAACCATACCATTGAGGTAAAGAAGGTGCTAAGTCGAAAGGCAAAGCTCTCGATTTACCAGTCAATCTATGTTCCTACTCTCACCTCATGAGCTTTGAGTCATGACCGAAAGGACAAGATCTTGGAAACAAGCGGCCAAAATGAGTTCCCTTTCACAGGGTGGCAGGGCGCACTCTTATAGATAGGGTGAGGAGCTCTGTCCCCTGAGAGGAGCTCAGAGTAGAGCCGCTGCTTCTCCACATTGAGAGAAGTCAGCTGAAGTGGCTCAGGCATCTGTTTCGGATGCCTCCTGGACGCCTACCGAGGGAGGTGTTCCAGGCATGTCCCACTGGGAGGAGGCCTCAGGGAAGACCCAGGACATACTGGAGGGACTATGTCTCTCGGCTGGCCTGGGAACGCCTCGGGATCCCCCTGGAGGGGCTTGAGGAAGTGTCTGGAGAGAGGGAAGTCTGGAGTTCTCTCGTAAGACTGCTGCCCCTGCAACCTGGCTCAGAATAAGTGGACGTCGATGAGATGAGATATTATTTCTTAATTTTTAAAAGTAATGCATTACTTTACTTATTATTTGGAAATGTAACGTTATTATGTAACTCACGTTACTTGTAATGCCCTCATGAACACTGGTCAGGACAATGCTTCTCAACAAAAAGTAAACCATATCACTATCAATAAAAGCAAGACAGCTTGAAAGCTTTACCATCATACCTGTCTGAACTTGTAGGAAATTACCTTTATTAGCATTTGGTAACCTATTTCATTATATATATTACAAAAATAGTAAATTTTAGGCAAGTCTTAAAGTGCATTGTACATTCATCGCAATAACTAAATTGTTATATAATGTAATTTAAAAAAAGGTATAACAGTATTTCATACAGTAGCAAGTTTAATATAGTAAATATAAATAAAACTTGGAATATGAGAACAAAAAGAAAAGTAGAAAACGTGTAATTAGCTGTCATACAAATGTGTATTACAGCAATTAAGAGTAATATTTTGTAAGAGTTAGTAATATTGTATTATTTTTAGTAACTGTATCTAAAGTCTCCACAGGGATTCATGCTGCGCGCGCTCGTGTGTGTGAGTGCGCGTGCAGAAAGAGAGCGAGAGAGAGAGAGAAAGAAGGAGAGAAAAGGCTGAAAACTTCCAACTAAAGTTTGTCGGAAGTGAATGTTTGGGAAAAATAAAAAAAACGCCAATATGGGGACTTGATGCATTGGCGCTTCGGTCTCTGTGTGATTGTGTTTGGGGGCCCCGAGCAGTGATTCTCACCCTGCGCTTAATCCACAGCCCAAATCTGCCGTCCGGGACCAGCACTCGGATCACACACCGCGTTTGGAGAAATATGTGATTTTTTTGCACGCTCGGTTGAATGAGCGACTGCATCGGGAGACGCGCGTCATTCCCGATCCCAGGCGGAGGATGGAGAGGAACTACCCGAGCTCCAGCTTCACTGAGCCGGGCAGCGCGGCGGCTCAGACCGCGGGCTGGGCCTACAAACCCAGGTACGAGAGGGCGGGTCGCTTCCCGAGGAAAACTCCGGTGATGGAAGGCCTAACCAAACACACACACACACGTAAAAGTGTCAAGACACACATAAAGGCAGACTCAACGGTGTTAATGCGTTTATAGCTCGACTTTTTCGCGCTGTGTTGATGTTTGCCTAAATCCTCAAACCTCTGACCACCTTTAAATGCGCATTGCTCTTACGGCGTAATCATTATTATTCATTGCATTGTATTATTTTGCGCATGAATCATCAGAAAGTTCAGAGTAAGATCTGTGTCAGCTGAATTGTACTGTCATATGTGAAGTTATACAGCAGTCTGAGTGTGTGCAGACATGGTGGAGGTTTGTAAACAATTGATCGATCAGTGTTGCAGAAGGGCCACGTGTCTGCAACTTTACAAAAAGTGTGTATTTTGTGGAAAACAAATATATCTGTCATTGATTTACCTTCAAATTTCACACTTTTGGTGTCATTGCATCATTTTATATGCTTAAAATGCTTCCCTTTATCTTGCAACGGCGTTCAAGTCGGTTAATAAATGTAATAGTCGTGATATATAATAAGTGTAATAAATAAGTGTGAAAACAGTGCATGTGTCTGAATGTAAACAGGTTGCAAACCTCTGGTAGATGCATTACAGTTGACACACTTTTTTAGCGTAGAGGAATACTTTAAAGCTATTCTTTAAAATACTCATTATGATTTACTGTACTTTTCATATCTAAATCTCCCTAAAACTTGAACACCTTGAACCGTGAAAAGATAATGCTCCCAGTTTATTACGTCTATGATTACTGTAGTCAACGTTTGAAGGGAATCAAAACCTCAAATCCTGAACCTATTCAACAATAGCCATTCTTGTCTTAGGACAATTTTGTCTATACGTTTTATAGTAATTCTTATGTACATTTTCAAGTTATATTCCAGCTTATCACAATATACAAGAAGTTTAAGCACCAGATGGTTTGACAATCATAACAAGGGACTTTAAGTTTATTACACTGTCATAGCATGCAAAATGCATGGCTTTTAAATGGTTCTGATGAGATTTAAATGGACACAACACAGCAGAGATCAGTGGCCTTAATTTAATTTTATGGCCAGTGAGCAGGAATGAGATTGTGTTTTCTCTTTTTAAAAGAAGTTAATTGAGAATGTTGTCTAATGGTAAAACACAGTACAGTTTGATAGGGAGAATAGTTATAGCAAATATACAAATATTTACATTATTCTAAAATATAGACACGTCATGTTTTTTGTTGGGGTTAATATTTCTGATGGAGCTGTTGACGTGGAATTGAAGCAGATTTTGGTAAAAACCCAAACAATACAAACATAATAATAAAAAAATCTGATAAATGAGTTCTGTGTAATAACAATGGAACAACAAAAGGAGAAAGTTCTAAACTACTGAAATTTAATACTTTATATGAAAGACTTTATTTAAGGATGGCAGCTTAAAGACGCGTCTCATATAGAGAATGAAGTCACATGCATTGCTCAGATGTGATTTTTTTTCAACAGATTATAAAAATCTTGACGTTCTTTGGGTTTTGTCTATCAAATCTGAGCTTTATTTTGTTTCCTCTATTGGATTCAAGTCAGGTGATTGGCTGGGCAAATCCACAGAATCCACAGCTTGATTTTCTTTCTCTGAAAGCATTTGAGAGTTTCCTTGGCTGTGTTTTGGATCAGTGTCTTGCTGAAATGTTCACCATGGTTTCATCTTCATCTTGCTAATGTAGATGTTAGACTGAAGCATCTCATAATCATTTACAATTAGGAAGGGAAGGGCAAAGAGTTCCTAAAGAACTACTGAGAGATTTTAGCTGCTGTCTGGGCTTTCCCTTTCTTTCTACACCTACCTTTCTTCATGTGTTCAACACTTTTCTCCTGTCATTTCATTTTATTACTTAACTGACTTAACTAAACATTTATTACATAACTTAATTTGTAAACTAATCTGACTTAGTTTTTTTTTTTTTTTTTTTGCATATATGGATTTATTTGGTTGTTACGAACATCTGGTGAAAATTTCAAGTCAACAGCACTTTTAGAAATATGTTGATGTGCTCTAAACGTATTTTGCCCGTTGTATATATATATATATATATATATATATTTTTTTTTTTTTTTTTTTTTTTTTTTTTTTTCCTCCACTTTTTAGAGCAGTAATTACTAACATTGTCACGTAAAGCCCTTTTGACATCCTTGGCGTAAGTTAGTCTTTTCAGTAGTTGTTTCTTTCACATTAAAACGATCAACTGTCACTTACAAATAAACATCCAAGTGTAAATGTTGGTTCAGCGATTAATCCTCCTGCTGTACTACTAGTTGAAATCAATCGATTAATTGAAATAAACTGATTAGAGCAAGCTGATGGAAATCCACTCTATTGGTTTGCGATGTCCGTACACAGATCCACACTGAAGCCATTAAAAACAGCTAGGAAACCAATTCCCTGGCTGTGACATTTACTTATGCAGATATTTATTTGGCAAAATGTATAATACAGCCTTGCCTCTATTTAGCAAGAGATGTGAAATTACAGCAGACAGACTAACCAACTGAAATAGTTTCCATGTGTTTTCTCCATCCAAACTCTATTATCTTTGTAGCTTATGCCTTTTTTTCAATTTCACTTTTTTATGCCAATTTGCACATTTAAAATAATGATTGTTTATTTTATTGCAGTACATTTATGTCAGTTTAAATATGCACACTATAAAACAGCCAAATCTATGTTTCCTCTACCAGCATATAAAATAGGCAGCCACTGCCAGCATCGTTGCCAACTTGTGTAACTTCTACTATTGTGTCTGAAATAGTCTGTTTTTGTTATTCTCTCTGATCTATAATAGAGAAGATCATTCTATTGACCTTATTCTTGACGTACGAGTGGGTGCACCCATTGCAATCTATTTGGCTCGAGACTTCCGGTCTCATTTACTTCCATTGATTTTTAGACATAAATGGCCCATTTCCACTGGCTGGTACAGTAGGGGTCACCTTTATCAGGCTTGCATTTCCACTACCAAGGGTACCCTTTTTGGTGGGTGTGGTGTCTGACAAAGTTCAATCTACGTCATTCTTGCTCGAATAAATGTCAACAGTAAAGCTGTACAGGTCGTTCACAAATCACAGAGAAGCATTTCTCACAAAACAGATGCTTTATACATATAAATGCTTCTGTATAAATGTTTATTACTAACTTTTCTATGAACAGTACTTGATTGTAACTGCAGATCAATGATGGTGTGAAATAACCTACTGTAACATCTACAATTATATAAAATAAATAAATAAATAAATAAATGCAACATACATGAACACATACAGACCCTTACAATCTGGAAGGATCAGATGTCGAAGACACTTCAATAATCACACACACGTTATTATCATCAGCTCATAAAGTTCAATATAACAATTATAGACGCAATCGCAAGCTCCCTGGAGAAAGCTAAAACCGCTCGCACTTTTAGACGGCCTTGTAAAACAACAACAAGACACAGCAGATTTTGTTCTTCTTGCCTTTGTGGCTGTTCATCAAGACATTGACAAGGTTTGTTTGAGCTTGTTATTATATGCAGATAGTATTACGATGTAATGTCTCGTTGTGTATTTAAAGCATGGCGGTTCTTTTGTTTACACTCTGGCTAGCTCCACCAGTTCGTGATGTATCTCTGTAACCAATCAGTGGTCAGGTGCGCGTGTAGCTCCACCTTTTTGTACCCTTTCGAAAGTGTGCCGAAAAAGTGGTACGGTTCAGTTAGGTACGCCATACCATACCGAACCATACCGTACCACTCAGTGGAAACAGGTCATAAAACAGCTTGTTATGCTGTCTGATGTTGCAAACTGATATTTTCTTATATTATTAATTTACTTTTTATGTAGTCATTAACACACTTGTTTTTTAGTGCAAGTATATAAATGTTTTCTGCCTTTTATCATTCCTAATAATTTCTCCCATAGGCAACTGAATCGGAACTTATAAAACAATCGCAAAAACGAGTGCACTTCCGCGTTAAAGAATAAGGTCAATATAGATCAGTGGTTATACTATAAATGAGTTTTTGTTTGAATGTGTATGATAAGCGCCACATAATATAATGTGCATGGTCCTTTCCTAAAACTAAAGATCTTTGTATAAGCGTAGTGAATAGTTGTGGCAGGATTTTTTAAATGTACAAAATCTCAATTGACCTTTTTACTTCATAGTTCAAGTTATGGTTCCACACAGTTGGACTCTGAGCTGGTCCAGCGGCAGAGCTTTGCCTCTAGTCACCAGTCTACGTTTACCACCACGCACCACCCCACAGGTGAGCAAAGGGGCTCAGGCTGGGAAACAAGTATAGTCATTGCTTAAAGTCGTTGACAGCTGTCGTATGTTTCTTTTAGGAGTGTTCGACTCAAATCAGCACAGCACAGCCAGCAGCAACACTACTGAATCATCGATTATGAACTTCCTCTCTGCTATTGAATCTCGTAGCCTTCAGGCTGGACCTGCTGGCTCTACTCTTCTCCCATCATTTCGAAGCCCCTCCTGGCAAACTGGTAAAAATATATTAGGTCTCTCTGTCTAATTTCGAGAAGCCCTGAAGTCTACTCAAGGGTCATGTCGTCATGTGTTTTATATTTTATTTTAATAAAATGTTCATTTCATCCTTTATTTCTTTGTATTATATGTTAGAATTTTATCTGATAATTTTTAACCTACCCTATTTGCTGCTGGGTCACTTTTTCCACTATCGGACCCAATGGTTCTGTAATGTGATTGGGATGCTGACAAGGGAGTTGTGGATCCAAATACAGGTTTATTGAACAGAGAATGCTCAGGCGAGCAACAATCAACACAGGGCAAACAGATGTATTTAGTAAACCGAGAGTCAATGTCAAATAACAGGCGAATGGTCAGTACAGGCAGGCAGCAGACAACGTAAAACAAAACAAGGGTCTAAACCGGCAAGACAAGGCAAAGGAAACGCGTCGTAAAGTTCACAAACAGATAAACAAGGCTCAGCAGAGAGTTGTGTGTGTTTGCTGTATAAATAGTTCATGTAATCAGTTCATGAGCAGCTGCCAGCCGTGAGTGTTTGAAATCAACGAAATGAGGAACAGGTGCGTGCGTGCGGTGCTAGACCGGAATTGTAGTCCATATACTGGCAGATTTGTAGTTCTTTATTGAACTGTGTGTCTACTAGCGATTTGTAGCCGGGAGATTGCTGGTGATCATAACAAGTTCTCTTTGCTTAACCATTTGCTTAACTTTGCATAACTACAACTGGAACCACACACCTGTCTGTTATATTGACTGTCATAATGGCCATTTGGCACAATAGTGAAAAAGTAGTCTATAACTCCTTTGTAAACTACTATGCATGTAAAATTAAATAGCATGGAGGAATAAATAGCACATTATTTACATTGTAAACAGGGGCTGCAGTTTTGTTTGTCCGTTATAGTTTGTATCAGGTCATCTATTGATAACTTTTTGCAATGCTTGCATAATTACATTGTGACAGTTTTACAAACACAATCCTAGCTAAAATGCACAACTAAAACTGCTACAGTCATACCAAAGGGATCAGGTACTTCTGACAGTTGTATGTGGAGTGGCAGGTGGTACACACAGAATGGAAAGGTCTTATAGCATTAGTTATTCTGGTATTAAGTATAAATAGCACAAGTCCCTCATTCTCCAATCTCTCCGCTCACTGTTACTGGCCATGCCATATTTAGTTTCAATAGAATGCCTGTTTGCACTAAAGTAAGTTACAGTATAATTGGCACAATGAACTTTTATCTAACAAAATCGAGCAAAGATTTGATTACTTATGATAAGACCCTGTTTTTAATGTGTTCATTTATTGCGTAAGGAAGCATAATGACCTGCAAATTTAGTACTGCCTACAGTACACAAAACTTTTAATATTTTTCTCTTGTAGGTGCAAACTCCTCAACAGAGCTTTTTCTTACTGGAGCCCTGCACCCATCAGGAACGTTTCCGACACCATCTGCGCTTTCATCCTACCAGCATCCCAGTGCCTTTCCTACCAGAAGTTTCACCACTGCATCAGCACTTGGTGTTCAGGACAGCACTTTCAGCTCTTCAAATGGTCTGCTATCCTCTAATGACTCTCTGCTTCAGCTCAAGTCTTCTCAGAACACAGTGCAAACTGCACTTGCCTTTAGTGGTACATCTCTTGGGGTTGGCTTGCCACCCCAGTCCTCCACATATCGCTCAGCACAAGAATCAGCCCCACATCTGCTTCAACCCCAGTTCAGTTTGCTGTCTGCATCCTTGGGCAGTTCCCAGCAAGCCCCTCAGCCTTACAGTGGCCCGGCTTTCTCAGGCTCCATTGAACGAGCACTTCAGCGTGAATGTAGTGTGATCAAGCACCACCAGCGGCCTTCTAGCACCCAGCCAGTACAGGAGCAGCTGGCCAACAGTGCTCAGCACTCTCTACAGGGTTATCTGCATGATGAGAGTGACGTTTCATATCAACAGGACCTGTCCCCGCACACACCCGTACCCTGCAGTCCGGTGGGTGACCCTTCACCCCTAAATGGCACTACACAACAGAAGACAGCTTCTCAAACTCAGGCCTATGCTTCTTCTGTCCCCTCCCCTGGGTTTTCCAGCTCAACTGGAGTAAAGGTTAAAGATGGTTCTTCCAGTATAGCACAACATCCCAGTGAGGACACAGACTCTCAAGTCCAGACAAGCTCTCCAGGCCTGCAGCCGCAGAGCTACTCCTCTCCAACACAGAAACAAAGCTCAGTAATCGCTAGCCAGTTGCAACCATACACATCAACGCAACTTACAGGCCTGGTTTCCGTTAGTGCCTCGCATACTTATATCACATCTCAAAGCCTGTCAAATAGCCTCAGCCAAACACAAGCCTTTACTTCTAGTTTGCCTGAAAAACTTCCTTCCATTTACAAAACTCTCTCATCGTTCGCTAGTCAGTCTGAAGCTGAGACATCTGTAAGCCAGTCTCATATTTATTCCTCCAGTCAGCAGCAGGATTTGCACCCTTCGGGAAACAGGGAAGGGTATGAGACACATGTGCAAACTCATTGCATGGGAAGTCCTTCTCAAAGCTATTCTTCCAGCCACTCTCAGGGCCTGCCAACCATTAGTTTCTATACCCAGGGGCCGGCATCTGTTAGCATACCTTCACAAAACTATGTGTCAAGTCAGTCTTTAACATCTGTCCCTTCCTTCTCATCAAATTATTCCCGAAGTTTATCATCCTCTAACCCAGGACAGGACTACGTCTTAATGCAGTCCTCTCCTGGTAGTAAGACAGACAATGCTCTGTTACAGCAGAAGTACTTGTTATCTGTCCAGTCGTCAACCTCTTCTGCTGCCACTTACACCAAGGTCTTACCAAAGGATCAGTCCTCAGTTGAGATTAAACCACGCCAAGAAGATGAGCAAATGTTTCTTCCCTCAAAAGCAAGCTCTGGAGAGCTTCCTCTTGAGGATGTGCAGGCATTGCAAAAAGGCTCTTTGGTAACCTCCCCTCAAAACATTTCAACCAGTGAAATTGGAGAACAAAATAGTGCAAAAAATGATATTTATGTAGTTTCGAAGATGGAAGACAGGCACAACACCCCAAGTGTTATTCGTAGTAACTCTCGAACAGAGGAGCAGACCCTTTCACAGATGGAAAACACTAAAGAACTCACTACCAATGCCAATGCTAAGAGTATTCCTTTGTTAATGCACTCCTCCACCCTTGCACCCTTGAGTGCTGATCAGCTGAAACAGCATACTTTACTTCTGAAAGGGTCCAGTTCTCAGCAGCAGAACCATCACGAACAGATAATACAAGTTCAAACGACAGATCCCAGACAGCTGTCTGAGGGGCAAGCACAGTTCATCCGGGTTCCCAGCACTACCCAAGTTCTTCTCGATCCCTCCCACATGATCGTTCTGCAACAGCCTGTGCTCACCACAGCACAGAATCAGCCCAAGCAGACTATGTACATGCAGTCTGTACCAGTCCAGTATGTCCATATGAACAGCGACACTGTTAATTTGACAATTAATGGGCGTCACAACCAGCAATTTGTCTCTCACCAAGTGCCCAACTCAACAGGGTCCACTAAAGAAGACCCAACACTAAAGGACCAGTCAAGTCCTCATGACATAAAGCAAAACTTTTCCCTCAATTCTGTATGCTTTTCAGACTCCATGCTTTTGGCAGATGAGAGAAACATACTCTCAAATGTTGATGACATCCTTGCTGCTACTGCAGCTGCCTGTGGCGTCACACCACAGGACTTTGTCAAATCCACATCATCTGATGGTGACATGTCATCAGTAGCCAACCCTGTAGACTCCAAGTGCAATTTTCAGTCACCTGAAAACCGACACAATAGTTTCCCATCTCAGCATATGATAATTAACCCACAAGCCATGACTGTAATTGGTGCTCAAACAACATACTCCAAAGAAGAAACTGAGGGACATCAAGTGTTTACACTTTCACACTCTAACAACCAACCTGAAGAAAGATGCAAATCTGCACAAGATATATCTGATAAGGTTGCAAATGCCCATGAGAAAAGTGATGTGTTATCCAAAGGACGTTTTGTAAACTCTAGCAATGGCTCTTTGAATACTAATGGACTTGCTATAAGTAATACAACCTCAAATGATTTTAATTTGGCTAATCAGCAGCAAAGCCAGTCACCACATCATATTACTGAAAATGTTTCAAGTAATCTAAGCCAACAAAAAGAATTGAAAGGTTTTAAAACCAATGATAGTATCATTGAAAATTCAACTGATGGCCTTGCAAAAAAACGATCCAGATCAAAGGGTTCATCCAAGCAGACTGCTGAAGATGAAAATGGTCAGCCTAAATTTCAGAAGAAAAGCATACAAGTTAAGCGACAAAATTCCCGTGCCAATGAGACTAGTACAACCTCCGCCTCAGAGGTTTCCCATGATAACTTTCAGCAGCAGGAGAAGATGCGTCAGAAGTTAAAAGAGGTTGAGGAAAAACAGCCAGAGGTTAAAACTGGATTCCTGGGCTCCTTTCTGGACTTTCTGAAATCTGGATCCAGACAAAACTTATCATCTCCACCAATACGGTCACCCAATCGCACAAGGAAGTCTTCAGCCTCCAAGAGGCCTCCTAATCCATTACTTATTCCCTTTAAACCTCCACCTCCTGTAACCCCATTGATATCCCCGGAACCTCAAAGTGTCATTTCTACAAAGCGACTTGATGAAGAGCTCCAGAGGAATCTGGAAACCCTACCATCATTTTCCTCTGATGAAGAAGATTCGGTGGGGAAAAACCAGGATCTTCAAAAGAGCATCACTTCTGCACTTTCATCTTTAGACGAGCCCTCAGACAAAAAACAGAAGTTGGGTATGGAAGACATTTCAAAGCCTTTTATTTAAAAAATATGAACTATTATTGATGTACTGACATTCATGTATTTTATGGAAACACTATTTGATCAAAATCATTTCAGGTGACAATGTGAAGCAGCTTCAGACCTCCAGCACACAGCCTGTAGTTGTGGACCAACAGAAGTCTGTAGAGAAGATTTCTGCTGAGGATTTACTGAAGGATGTGCCTACAGACAAGCTGGCGGTTCAGCTGAATGCAGTTGCTATCGAAGGCCTGATTGATGAGGAGCTGTCAGATAGTGGAGGGGAGGGCATGTACCGAGAACGTGATGAGTTTGTGGTTAAGAACGAGGACATTGAAAGGCTAACGGTATGCTGCTGTTTATGAGCCAATTGATGTCATCATAAAATCAACACTTGCTTAAATGATCTTATTGATAAAAGTGATTCATTTTATGGAAATACAGTGAGTTGTGAATGACTGTATATGTTGATTCTTAATTGTTAAATTTTTTACGTGACGTATCAGTTGTTGCTGAGCAGTTAGTGACGTTTTCACCTACCTTCTTTTAACTTAGACGAAACCCAGACAGCCTAACTGTGTTTCATCAAACCCTTTGTCTCTGTAAGCCTTTGATGTGTTGTGTTTTGGCTGTAGGTCACATTGAAGGCAGGCGTCGAACCACCAGCCATCTGGAAGGTTCAAAAAGCCCTGTTGCAGAAGTTCGTACCAGAGCTCAGGGATGGAAAACGAGTGTTTTTTGCCACCAACAGTGTAAGTGCTAATGCATAACATATAACACAGCAAACTTCAAATGCATGTCTGAAAATGCTGTGAACAACTGGCAATGTCATGTGCTCTTTACAGTATCTGGGGTACTTCGGTGATGCTAAGCTCATGTACAGGAGAGTACATGTCAAGTTTCTTGACACGGTCAATAAACGCGAGTATGTTCGGGTTTGCAGCAGAAAACCACAATGTAAGCCCATGCATTCAATGAGGTACGAGCCATTTCTGTCTTATTTATTAATGTGAATCCAGTTTTTATTGTGAAAAGTTTGGTTGTGCACATTTCATTATTAGGATTTTTTCATGACAGACCTGTTGCTGGTGTCATAAGCAGGACTTTTCCTCCTTATACTTATCCTCTACATTTTTTAAGTTCCACACCCACATCTCATCCTTTTAACAATAAACGGCGCATAGAACTAAAGCCACTTTTCCACTAAACATCACAAGTATGGTTCACTACGGTTTAATGCTGCTTTTTTTGCTTTACCGCTCCAATTTACTAACGTTTAAAGTGGGTGGGAGTATGGATATTGTTGCACCACATCTACTGACATCATCATAAATGCTTGAAAAACAAATGTGTGACAGAAACCGACCCACAACACAGAGGCAATAGATGCTACAGATGCAATAAGCACTGGCTGCTGATGACTATTGAAATATAGTCTGTGATCAGATGTGTGTATAAGTGACATTTTGGTAACAGTGTACACTACCTGACAAAAGTCTTGTTGTTGATCTCAGTTGTAAGAGCAGCAAATAATAACTTGACTTCTAGTTGATCATTTGGAAAAATGGCAGAAGGTAGATTTTTCTGATGAATCATCTGTTGAGCTGTATCCAAATCATCACAAATACTGCAGAAGTTTTGGCTTCTGATTTTTTTTGTTCCTCATTTGTTTGCATCTCACAATGCTGAAGAAAAGATTTGTCGATGCTTCAGTTTTATAGTGACTTAAAAAAATCACCAACTGTTTCTGAATTCAGGAATTTGACCAGTGTGTTCATGGAAATGAATCGCACGATTCTCACCATTTATATGGTCGAATGAGTTAGCAATCATGTTTTTGCTGTTATCCACTAAAATGTCAAGCTGAGCCACATGCCTCTATTGTGCAATCCCACTCAACCAAATATTTTTCCATGACACATCAATCTCCTGCCAGTATGTTTGAAATGTCCAACATCAAACTGATCCCACACATTTCGGTTTAACTCAAAACCATTCTTTTGTTGACTGTGCTGTTAAAGTGAATGTACATGTTAGACCCCATAAATGACCTTATCTGTGATCTTTGTTTTTTTTCAGAAGCTCTCAGGCTAAAGCTCTTCTGGCCCAGCGATTCGCAGCGGCGACCGCATCAGACTGTGCTACGCAGAAAACAGCACAACAGAAAGCTCTATCGAAACCCAAACCCAAGCAGCCCAAAGCCAAGGCTGAACCGCCTCCTAAAAAGAGAAAGAAATGGAAAGAGGAGTTCACGTCGTCTCCTTCTGACTCCTCGCCGGAGGCTGTGAGTGAGGATGATGGTGAGACGCGTGACAGAAAAATGTAACTTGTACATCAGTGAATGGGAAAGGTGGTAAATTTTCAGCTAATTGAACCAATTGTTTCACAAACTGATTCATTGTATAAAATAATTACGGTCTCCACACACTAAGGACATCTGCTGGGTAAAGCTGTGTAAATGCAACAGCAAAAATACGTTCAATGAGGTGTTCGACAAAGCGTGACCTGAAATGTCCATAAATACTAACAACACTCGCAGCTGGGCATTTTAGAACCGCATTTCTGCAATGCAAAAAAAAAAAAAACGATTGGGTGGACACGCGCCCTAACACTAAACTTTACAGTTTCATTGGGTAATATTGAACTAATAATAATTTGTCTTTGTTAACAATTATTGAAGCTTTTAGTAATACATTAGGTCCAATTTTATATTGAGGGGCCTTAATTACTATGTTCTTGATAAAAAAAAATAAATACAATGTACTTACTGTACTGTATTCATAATGTATTGCAGAACACTTCTACTACTCTTGAGGTGGGATATGGGTAAGGGTTGGGACAGTTTTGGTGGTATTGGTAGGTTTAAGGTGTAGGGATGATCAACATTGTAAATACAGAAATTAATTACAGATGTACTTGCATGTATTTAATCAATCATGAGTACTATGTAAAAACATGTATTTACACATTAAGTACATTGTAACAAATTATTCATTTAAGTGTACATGCATATTAGTTAGACCACCACAGTAAAAAATGGGACCATTACAAATGTATAGAATGTAATAAATGTTTTGCCTAAAAACAGAAACTGCACTCATCTTATGTTAATTTAAAATTATAAAACTGTTAAGCATGTTCTTAAACAGTGCTGATTTGTCATTGTGTTCACATGCTCAACAGAAATGACCGTGATTGGCCGTAAAGGTCATCAGTTCATCAAACTAACCACTGTTTACTGAGTGTAACCACAAATACAGGGACACTGAAGCGTTTTACGTCGATTAGCTGATTCGTCTTTAAGCTGACATACGAGCGATCCTCTGATGAATCAAGTCTTTAAAATGCTTTAGTGTCCCTGTATCTGTGGTTACACACGGTAAACAGCGGTGAGTTCGGTGAACTGATGGCCTTCACGGCCAATCACAGTCATTTCTGTTGAGCACGTTAACACAATGACAAATCAGCAAATGACTGACCTATAAAAAAAGACAAAAAAGAGTAAGCGATCATATTAAACTTTATTTAATATGATTAAAAACTTGCTGGCCAATGGGTAAAACCTAGTAGTTTGAAGGGTAGTGACAAAGTATACGGATTTAAAATGACTTTTAATTTGCTGCGCTGTATTTCTTTTATCTAATATATCATCAGATGATTGTATATATTTTTGATTGTATAAGTTTTTTATATAAACTATTGTTTCACTGAATATTATTTTTAGTTGGAGTCTTCTGTCAATCATGTTTACATATTTAAAGAAATAGTTCAACCGTCATCATTTACTCAGCCTTCACTTTTCACAAACCTGTTTGAGTTTCTTTCATCTTTATTAACCGGTCTGTAATGACACAAAAGAAGTTATTTAAAAAAATGCTGAACCATTCAATGCTATCCATTGACTTCCATGATAATTAATTTCACATTAAGAAAGTCAATAGTTACTGTTTACTAACATTCTTCTTTTGTGTTTAAAAGAAAAAGGTAACACAAAGGTCGTGAACCACCTGAGGATGAGTAGATAGTGAGAAAATGTTGATTTTCGGGTGCTTAACTATCTATTTAAATCAGTCCTATCTTTTGTTTTCAGAGTTTACACCACCGGTTCCTTTCGCCTCTCGCTTTCTGAACACCAGAACGATGAAGGAGACTTTTAAGAGCTTCGTAGAGTTGCTGGTCAGCGTAGCTCTGGACGCAGACGTCTTGAACGCACTCGAGCGAGAGAACGGTGAGGAGTCCATCATCAGACTCTCTGTTTTGTTGATGTGGGTAAACAAAATTGCCACTTTAGCTCTCTAACGACAAATTTCATTGGACGTTTCAGCCTACAAGGTGTTCATTTATGAAAGACCAATTAACCATGTTGTCCAGTTAAATTTGTCTTTTGATAGCTTAAGTGGCAGTGTGCCTACATTTTCTGTTGTGTAACTACTTTTTACATAATTTGGGCTGTACATTTTTAAATGTTATCGGTCAGGAAAGTACTTCTACTTGGAAGTTCTCCCTTACTGTGGATGTACTGCATTTGCTAGGTATTTGTTTGGGTAAACTTAATAGATGTTTCATTTTTTGAGTATTGTTTCATTTTTTTCCTTAAAAAATTACAATAAGTCAACATAAGAAAGGTTTTCACTTGACGTGACTGAAAATCAGGGTCATTACAATAAATATTAATTTACAATTTACTAAACAAAGTGGCACACTGTCACTTTAGCTCTCAAATGACTAATATAATTGGACAAGGTTTCAACCTACAAGGTCTTCATCCATGAAATACCAATTAACCATGTTATCCAATTAAATTAGCCTTTTGAGAGCTAAAGTGGCTGTGTGCCGAGTTTTGTGACATTTTCTATTGTGTTTGGCTTGATCGAGCACCTGCCTTTAGGATTTTCCTAGATGTGCACACTCTTATGTTTTTCCATTGTATATGTGGTAAAACTGACTGACATTTTTGTTTGCAGATGAGCTGCTGCTGCCACACATGAAGAGGGTGGATGGAATGATCACAGACAACAGGCGGAGGCTCCTGCCAAAACTACGCATGGGTCAGATCTTCAAAGTGAGTCACTGTTTTCCATTTCGACATCAGGGTTCTGCTTTAATGTATGGTGTTAATCTAATATAAAGTGCGCCTATTATGCTACTATGAAGTTTCCTCGTTTAGTTTTGGAGGTCTCCCACAATAAATGATGTACATCCAAGGTTAAATTACACTTACATGGTCTCATAATACAACTTTAACATCATCTAATTTTTAGGAACTCTCAAATTAGTCTGAAGATTCATCGTTTAGGAGTGCCTGAAGTATTGCTGAACTGAAACAGTTTTGTAAGGAGGAATGGTTCAAAATCCCTTTTGACCCTACTACAAGAAACTTGGCTGAGGTTATTGCTGCCAAAGGAGGGTCAACCAGGTGTTAAACCCAAAGGTTCACATACTTTTTCCATCCTGCACTGTAAATGTTTACAGGTTGTGTTCAATAAAAACACAACACAAAAGTCTTAGTATAAGCAGACTGTGTTAGTATTATTGTGAATTGGATGAAGATCAGAACACATATTATGTTCAATTTATGCAGAAAGGGTGTACATACTTTTTTCTTGCAACTGCAACTGTCCCTATTGATTTTCATAGTATTTTTTTTCAATGGACAAAAAGTCAGTGGGGACAACCAACTTTTTAGTTGCCAACATTTTTGAAAATCTCTTCTTTTGTGTTAACACAAAAACAAGCTGAAAACAAATGTAAAGCAAATGGTTTCCATGTTTAGAGTAATCTATCCGAAGACTAATGAATCATAGGACTGATGGAAAAGTCCAATACACAAATACGCAAAATCAATACACAAATATACTTCATTGAACATGTATTCTTATTATTCCATGTAAATATTTTTTGGAAGGACACTATATACTGTATAACTGCAGGTTAACTACATTTATATACTGCCAACCCTGTACACAACTTTTCTGTAACTGTCCCCGTTGACTTTCACAGTATTATTTTTTCAGTAAACAAATAGTCAGTGGGCACAACCAACGTTTTGGTTACCAACATTCTTCAAAACATTTTCTCTTATGTTCTGCAGAGAGAATAAATGCACACAAGATGGAAACATTGTTAAGCAACATTATGGGGTCATCTATCCCAATACTAATGAATCATAGGACTGATGAAATTGGCCAATACAATAATATAATTCACTGAACATATTATTATTATTATTATTATTATTATTATTATTATTATTACATGTAAATATTATTTCTTTTGGAAGGAGACTATATAATGTATACAGACTATATTTCTCTACACAGATGTACTTGAGATCCTAAATTCAGGTTTTTAGCTATTCAAATATGCAGATGATATGGCACTTGTTGGTTAGTTTACCAGAGATACATTTTAATACATTTTTAGGTGGTTATCAGCAGAAATAAACTAGTTCTTACTCAAGGGTTGAAACTTCTGGTCCTTGAGGGACATAAAATAGAGACAGTTGAATGTTTTACATATTTAGGAACATTTATTGATATTGAATTGGCATTTGCTGGAAATGTAGAGTGTATTTTTTAAAAAGCAATGCAGAGATTATATCTTATTAGGAGGTTACAATTTAGTGTGAGTCGAGATGGTAGACAAGAATTTGGTTGAATGTGTTGTGAATTTTAACATGATTTCTGTATCGTAAAAATAGCCAGTCCATCTGTAGGTAAAGGACAAATACAACTAAATGAAATGTATTTATTGAGAATAATTGTGCCATTAGAATTTTAAATACTGGCTATGAATAGGGTTTTGAGTTTTTAATATGATTTATGTGATGATATTGAATGTATTTGTGTTGCCTGTTTTTCTGTGATATGTATAATGTGAACGCTGATCTGGTTGTGTGGTAAAGCCAAAGAAAAATTTCTACTTGTGGATAAAAGTAAAGTGCAGGTTAACTACGTTTATATACTGCCAATCGTCTACACAACTCCTAAACTTTTACTGATTTTGACTGAATTGTAATGATGTGCACCTTTTGTGAAGCTGCTTTGGAATGATAATTATTGTGAGAAGCGCTACAGACCATTTCAGTGTGGTGATGTCATTGGCCCATGAGCATTTCCTGCTTGTTGTCAAACTATTTCATAACTGTAACAAGAGGCAATTCAATCATAATTTAATGTAAAGCAGCTATCATAACATTATTTATCAATATGTGGCTCTTTTTGGATTCTAGCCATAGTTAGCTATATAAATTAAAAATGTAAAACAGGAAATATGTTGGGACCATTGTATTTGTTTATATCCCTCAAAATGGTCTACACTTGAACTGAATATATATATATATATATATATATATATATATATATATATATATATATATATATATATGAAAACACACAAGTGCATTTGTTTACAAGATGTAATTATTTTAATTCATCTTGTTTTGTCTGGCAGAACGCATTAGACTGTTTTCCTGAGCTGTCTGTGGTCACCGAGCTGAAGACAGACTGTGAGACTCCTGTTTTTAAAGTCCGGTTAAGTGGAAGAGCTTATAACAAGAAAACTATGAAGCCCTCAAAATCCCCCAGCAAACTTCCCCTGGTGAGTATTGCTGGCTGTTTTCTCAACTAGTTTAATTTTTGACCACTAGGAGGTGAGCTTTAGATCACTTCAGACACTTTCATTTCTCCTCATTCCTCCAGGAATACACAGTGGATCAGCAGAAAACAAAGTGGTTCTCTCTGTATCACTCTCTACAACACTATAAGTACCACACATACCTGATGTGTGTGGAGGAGGTGAGGCTTCATTCTGTTTGTTTGTGTGTGTGTTTCTGGAAGGATAACCAATCTACCAGTCCTTGCTGACAAGCTCTGGGAATATTTGAAAGTTATCTTGTTTTGACTAGCAGGGTTCGTATCGGTATCAGCTCTGACGTGTCTTGTTTTATCCTCTGTGGTAAATTACCTTGCCTTTTCAAATGGTTAGAAATACGTAACGGTGGTTGCAGAATCAGTTGTAATAAAACTAAAATCATGATACAGCTCAGTGGGATTATCAGATCAGAGGCTGTGATGTTAGTGAATTGAATACTCTATATTTTGGTATGATGTGCGTTTCAGAGTGAAGAACAGCCCTGTGCCACACACTCACCAATTTTACAGTGTTTTAGAGTGTATTTGTAGTATGAATGTTGACTAGGTTAAATGTAGTTAATTGTACTTAAATGTGCCCATGATATCAATATTGTACATGCTAATTATCATGATATATTGAATATTTGCAGGGATTGACATTAACTTTTTTGATCACCAGCCTCTGTGGCAACATTACTAGTCACTCTGTATTTTTGTTGTTGGAAAAATATATTTTATATGCATAAATTTTCCATGCTAAAATTATTTGATTTAAAGTATGTGTTATGTCCACATAGGGATGCTCAAAATAATTGATTAACCGTTAACCGAAAGGGTGTGTTTGTAACTGATTAATGGTATCAGTTAATTGATTAAAAAATATTATGCTATATATTTTTAGAGTTTGGCTGCATGTGGGGTCGATCGAATGCATTTTTTTTTGCGTTAAGAGGGGCATCTTTTGAATGGTTTACCAACAGCCGCAAGTGTTTTGCGCGAGGCTCATCCCAGAGCAGCAGTGTTTGTGTTGTCAAGACAACTACAGAGAACTTTTAAAGGCAGAGACTAGTGCTCGCTGATTCAAGTAATCCAGAGCTGTATGACTTAACAAATGTTGAATATCACAATATTATTATATATTACAACTCTAACAAGATAGATAGCGAAATTTATTTTATGTTCCTAGTGACATGAAAAAGTGCACCGCGCTTCTTTTTTCCTTGTCAGCATTAAAGTCGGTGAGGTGCGCCACACGTTTTTGGAATGGAAAAGCGTGTTTGCTGTGATTGGCCCCTTAATGTGCAACTGCAACACATATTTGTTAACTCGTGGGATGGTAACGTGTAACCACACGTGCCTACAGACATATTTGCCAAAGAAGCAAAATGGAAGAAGAATATTGCTGTTTGATACAGACGAGTTGATGCCAAATACTGATCGCCTTCTGGATCTGTGTCATAAACACAACAAATAGGCTTTTGCTTTCATTTTACAGCTTATAAAGCATATGTGCAAATTAATGCATATTTAAACAACAAAACTGTAAACAAAAAGTCAACATATGCGCGCATTGTCATTGCCTTTTCATCACCGCAGTGCACTTGAACTGTGAGTCAGAGAGGAAACTACATATCAAGACATAATCTTGAGACATAAGAACGTCAATTCTTTTTAAATTTAATACCAATTTAATCTTAATCTGACCAGTTAATCGTTAATATTCGATTAATAGTGGCGGTTGTCGGTAAGTTAACCGTAATGAGCATCCTTAGTTCACATGCCTTCTTAACATTTTATTTTTAATTTCACATGACGTTTTAGGGCTCAACACGAAGGATTTACCATTTTTTCTCTGACCACACCAAACTAATTATTCCCTTGCCAAAAATGTTAAAAAATGTGTCAAAACAACCTAAATATAGCTGTTCACATACACTTTTATTCAACAAAAATGTTCTTAAAAAACAATTGACATTTTAAAAAATGATTCTCATTTATCTACAACTATACACAGTAGTTTGTCCAGGTTAAAGGTCCCAGATCATCAGGTAACTATAGATAAATGACTAATTAATCTCCTATTGAAACGATGCTACTGTAAAGGATGATAATTAAACCATATTAATAAAAATAACTGCAAGTGAAAAACATTCTGTGAGCGATAGTGAGAGGATGATCATGTGCACACGGTTAACATTGGGCCCATTAATAATTTGTTCAAAGAATGGTTAACACTGCTTCTAAAAAAAATCTGGAGATCTCTTGAAAGCAGCAGGACTGTGGGTGAACGAGCACCGCTTTTTTCCAATCTATTTTAAAGAGAAACAATCGCACTAGTTGCGTTTTCAGGCACGGTTGTTTTGCGCAAGGAAACAGGAGCTTATAAGCGCTCGCGTGCATCACTTCAGCTGTGCCTCGCTCACAACATCAGTGAGCAATGATCGCCTGTGTCTCATTCTCTCTATCGATATTCACCTTTCTTTTGCTCGCTCGAACAATTATAAATCGGGCTGCTTCTCGGTTCTAAGATCACATTTGCTCGCATATTGACAACCAGTCTTAAACTAAAATTCTAATCTTTAGGGAGGAGGCAGCCAAAGTGGCTAGTGGGGGTGTCTGTCTAACCCGCCACAGCTGAAATCTACCTACATTTGGCGGGCTGGCAGGTGTTGAATTTGGCATATGACTAGTTGTTGCAACTAAACACTTTAACAGCTGGACCGTGGCATTTGTTTTCTTACGACAGTGGATTAATGTAGTGTGTTTTGCAGTACCATTGCACTGTGTGTCTTCAGTGTGTTTCTCTGTCACCTGTCAGATTGAGCTGTTGAAGTCGCGGGGGAGAGACCTGGGGCAGGAGGAGACGGTGCAGACCTGCATGGGCAACAGATCGTGGGTCGAGGGCCTGTTCGATCGCTTCGGGGAGCTTCTGACACAGGTGCAGCAGGCCTGCCTTTAAACAGAAGCCAAGATCATGCTGATCATATGAAAATAAGCATTCATAAATCTGATGAACCTGCATTACTGAGGACAGACGTCAGTATGAAGAGACTGTGAGGGTTTTAACAAAAGAAAATTAATAGACCAAACGGCTGCCTTTTCTGACATCCACAGAGACGATGGTTTTACACGACAACCTGTTTTGGTTGAACTAGCTGTAGTTGAGTATTCAATGTCCGTGTCCTTTTTTTATCAGTAAGGGCCAGAACTGATGATCTGTTATGAAATGCAGCGTGTCTTGCTGAGAACCTAATATCAGTCTGTAATTATGGTTTGGGTGAGTATAGAAACACAATTATACATAGATATATATGTAAAACATCCATTTTTTAAAACCGAATGCCAAATTTATATATGACACTGTACATTTTTGTATAGAGAGCTTGTTCGTCATTCTCATGGCGTGATATAGAACACTTACCCAACGTGCTTTTTAAACTCTGTCTGTTGTAACGGAGTTGGTGCAATTCTAAAACTGCTTTCGTGAGATTTCATTGTAATAAAAAAAAGCATTTACTTAAAACTATTTTCCTCGAGGTAAAATCTCTTTATACTTGTCTTCTCTTTCTTCTTCAGAACATTTATTTTATCTCACAGATAGATGTATTTTTCACTGAAGGAAATATTGTGGTCATTTGTCGTACGTTTGTAGACGGCCTATCCGTTTATGTCATATGCACATTGTATACAACATATAGAAATTACTTTTACTTGGTGATTCTGCAAATTTGCCGACGTTTTTAAGCGAATTACTGTGCCGACAGCATTGGATTAGTTTTTTGCTTTTTCAAGTGTAGCCGTGTTACACACTACAATGTTTTTTGCTGACATGTGCAAATAAATTTCCTACCAAATGAGCAATCTGTGTGAGTATATCATTTATACTTGATCAGAGAAGCTGATTGCTGACATTTGATGGCAGCAAGTGATAGAAATCATTTTTCAAAACCCATCTAAAAGTCATTTATGCGGATGATATTAGGTGCCAATTTCAGCTCTTGATGGCTCCTTATTTTGCAACCCTGAAGCAAGGAATTGACTGCGTCCCAATTCGCATACTTGTACTATGCCCTAAAAGTGTGTATTTTTATTGTGAAGAAAAAGTATATACTTTTGATTGTGCAACAGAAGAGCATGCAAGCTTTGGGACTTACTACTTCCATGTTAACAGATCGTTATGTTGCTTAGTTATGAGCTCTGTCAATCATCTCAACACATCGTCCACATTTCTTTCATATTTAATTATCTACCTTATTGGAGACGCAGCAGCAGGTTACTCCGCCATTCATGAGAAATCTCCTCAGGTCTTTGGATAATTATGCATTCAGAAGTTTGTCAAAACATATCATCATATAAGGTCACATTGCTGTTGCAGATATATAACATGGAAAACTTGATTTAAAAATTCTCCATAGATATTAATTAATAGTAATTTAAAATAGTATTAGTAAACCATCCTGGAACCTTTGGCATACTCTTCGACATACTACAATTTGGGACATAAATATTCTATTTTTGAATACTATTCAGGACGGATGGTATGCGAAGTTGGGACAAAGCAATTTTCTGTGTCCTTTCAAAGTCACTTAAATCCCCTCTCTTTCCCGTTCTGATGCTCGGTTTGAACTGCAGCAGACCGTCTTGACCATGTCTACATGCTTAAATGCACTGAGTTGCTGCCATGTGATTGGCTGATTAGAAATGTGCATTAACGAACAGTTGGACAGGTGTACCTAATAAAGTGGCCGGTGGGTGTATGTGTAAAAATGAAAGTCTTTTCCATATAGTTCCCATTTAGATTTGTTATTGGGACATTTTATGCAGGTTCTTTTTTTAGTTTTCAAAAACTAACCTTACTAGAAATTTGTATGGATGTTTTTAAACAATTTATAAAGAAACTAAACGAGAAAATTCTGGGAATATTATTCTAACCTAGTGGGAACATTTGCTTTCCATGAAAAAAAGGCTTTGCTAGCTAACCAACAGGAAACATTCTGGGAACCAAAAATTGTTAGCTGCTGTTACAGTATAATACTATAAAAGAATAAAAATGTTATTATCTTTTACTTAAGTAAAACCACTCGTTTTTTATTCTTTGAAGCGGCTTTCAGTAACCACTGATCTTTGTGTTTTGTCTGTGCTTTTCAGTCCACTTCAGATTGTCCTGCTATCAGCATTCTGCTATCAGTTCCCAGCTATTAGCGAAACAGCATCATAGGGGCTCTTGACGTAGACTGACGGCGTTTGTTAGATAACAGATGACCAAAACATTGAATATCACAATACTTCATTATCACAACTCGAAATACAAGGACTGGCGTGCACCTTGACCTCAAATCCTCAAAGAGAGTAGAAGAGTTGAAGTGAAAGTTTTTGTACCTCACGGGACTCAAACAGGAAGTCTTATTGTTTGAAATTTGCTTTTGTCATCTCTGTTGTTGTTCCTCTTCCTTTGATGCTGCAGATTTCTCACTGGACAGTAGATGTGACCTGTGGAAAGGGATGATATATATTACTCAGCATGCTCACATAGCTGAACAGGGAGAGGCTGGTTAATTTTTAGCTCAAGTTCCCACAGCTTCACTGGATGAATTGTGAAGTGCATTGTCTGAATGGTCTGTAATATAAGCATGTTTGCAAAAGCTGCATGTGAAATTAATGTTCTACCTACACTATGCCTGAAAAAAAAGTCATGTCGTTGATCCTCGTTGTAAGAGCAAAAAATAATAACTTGACTTCTAGTTGATCATTTGGAAACATGGCTGATAGTGGATTTTTCTGATGAATCATTTGTTAAACTGCATCACAATCATCACAAACACTGCAGAAGACCTACTGAAACCCGCATGGAGCCAAGATTCTCACAAAAATCAGTAAGTTTGGTGAAGACAAAATTATGGTTTGGGGTTACATTCAGTATGGGGGTACATCAGAGTGGATGGCAACATCAACAGCCTGAGGCATCGAGACATTTGTGCTGCCCATTACATTACAAACCACAGAAGAGGGCAAATTCTTCAGCAGGATAGCACTCCTTCTCATACTTCAGCCTCCACATCAAAGCTTCTGAAAGCAAAGAAGGTCAAGGTGCTCCAGGATTGTCCAGCCCAGTCACCAGAAATGAACATTATTGAGCATATCTGGGGTAAGATGGAGGAGGCTTTGAAGATGAATCCAAAGAATTTTGATGAACTCTGGAAGTCCTGCATAAACGCCTCTTCTGATACCAAATGATCAAATAGAAGTCAAGTTAATATTTGTTGTTCCTAAAACTTGGATAGGCAAGACTTTTGTCAGGTAGTGTATATTGCTAGTTTATATATATATATATATATATATATATATATAAATATATATATATAAAATCAAGATTAAAAAAACATGCAGCATTCAACCAGTAGGTGCAAGCTATCAACAAATCCTGGGTTTTCAGTGGCGACTCTTCTAAACACCTCTGATTGGCTACTATATACTATCCTCACTATACAGTTATATGAATAAAAAATGCGCAGAAATCTACTTCTAATCTATGTCACACAATATTAAGCTCATCTAAACATCTCTATTAACATTCATGTCAACTGAACTCTTAAAAATTATTTTCCCAGTGTAAAATGTTTCTACAAGACTTTACAATTCACGCTATTGTACACTTACAGAAAAAGGTACACTGTGGTACAACTAATGTTTCTTGAGGAACAGTTTTGTACCTTTGTAAAAGTTGTACCTTATATGGTACAGAAAAGACCTCTTCTGATACTGTTCTGCACCATTTATGGTACAACTGAAATGAAGGTACACAATTGTTCTCATGAAAAAGTGCACAACTCCTTTATTATAATATCTATGGAAATAAGTATGACTGGAAGGTCACAGTGATTTTATGAATAATTTCAATATTAAAACATGAATCATCACTTAAAAGCATATGTTTAAAGAAACTCATCATTAATTAAGCTCTGTAATACTGAACAACAGGTAAAACAAAACTATAGGTATTGTAAACTCAATATTTAAGGCATTTTTAACATTTGGTCAGCATTTTCTGATAAATACAGTTTCATTATTGATATCCGCACCTTTTGGCATTTCCTTTCCACTATGTACAAGAGCTGGCAAAAGTCCTGCATATGCAAAGTGTTGATGCAGACATTTTAGTACTGTAACACTAATCAAACATTGTGCATGTCTCGTTACAATACTATTGTATAATTCTATTTCTATTTTAAAATTAAGTAGTTTCTATTAAATTAACTTTTAAGTGTTTACAAAGGTGTTGTGTAAAAATTGGAGGAAAAAAAATTTTATATTGTACATGGGAGAATTAGAATATATCTAATATTCTAATATTTTTGTGAAAAGTGTTGTGAAATGTTTAGCAAAAAATAGATCTTTTGATTTATGTTAAAGAATTTTTATTCTTTATTGTAAAAATTGAGGAGATGCAAAAAATGCCAAATGCCTTTAAATAGTTCTGGAAGGTAAGTACAGGACAGTGTTAAGGTACAAAGTGTCTTGTCACTGTAGTGGTACCTTCATGGATCACGATTGTATCTTTGATGAAGGTACAATATTGTATCTGCAGGTTTTAAAAACCAAAGGTATATTTTGGTTTCCCAAATCATGTCCTTACCGGCTCAAACTGCAATGGTACATTTGTTTCTTTGTCTTAAGGTACAATTCTGTCCCATAAAAAGGTACTGCCCCAGTGACCAGGGTTTGTACCTTCGTTGGTACAACATTGTACCATTTTTTCTGAGACTGTATTAACTGACTTATTACTAGGACCAGACAAAATCTGCAGATATTTTTTTCTATTTCTAAGCAGAAATTTCGAAAAATCTGCAGATTTATGTGGAATGATTTTGGGAGTATCATAACTAAAAACTTATCATGTTAAATAAAAAAATAATACATTTATAACTTTTATTTAATGTTTACAATGTAAATCCTATTAGATCCCTTTACTTGGTAGACAAAGCAAGTCTCTCGTATATCTATTTTATATACTAAAAAACAGAAATTATTACTTTGCAAACTGTATTGTAAGAAAATCATCGGAATGTTTTTGTATTTGTCAGTAATATTACTGAAATTAATATAAAAACTAAAGAAAAATAAATATACACACATTTACACACAACTAAATAAATATGACGGGCTGAAAATAAAAATGACAGGATGAAAATCTGGAGAAACCAGTAGATTTCTGTGTGCGCAGATTGCATGTGGGCCTACTTATAACCTGCCTATTATGAAGATATCAACTATTTATTAGCAGTTATAAAGTATATTCTACATTCCAAATCCTACCCAAAACCTAAACACTACTTCTACCTTAGGGTAATGGCCTATATAATAATTAGTAGTTTACTGAGCTAATAGTCTTAGTTGATGCTCTGTAGTGTGAATTGTGGCTAAAAATAAAGTATTACTGGTTTATTTATTATTATTTTTTAATTAGATTTTAACTTGCAGCCATGCGTTTGATTGAACTATACAAAAATGCAGCCTGAATTTCTTTCTAAAATGCATTTATGTGCCCTTAAGGAGCACAATCAATTCTGTAAGCGGTTTCCTATACGCATGTCTTTACCGTTGTGTCATGGAAAAACTATTCAGAGTGTCCAGCTGGGTCCGAGTCCTACTGAATAAAATATGATTGTTGCAAGTCACAATCCGGCGAAATCGAACATCTCTGTGGCTGAAAACAAAGGCTTCAATGTCCACAAATGGCCATCATGAAGGAAGCCACTGTACAGCTGAATTTAGTGAGGGGCGTTTGTAGATTCCAGGCTGCACATTGCTAGGAGAACTGTGTGTTTGTGCAGTCCAAACGTCTGCCCTACAGCGCAGTG